GACAATGTTGGCATAAGGTGCCGAGGACGAACATTTGAGTATATACGGAACATTTATTAATTTTTTCTGCGAAGTGAGTCTCATGAACGACAATTCACCACAATTTTGGTAAAATTAATGTTGAAATAGAGCATATATTTCAGTCTAATGTTAGTGCAAAATATCATTAGTCCTTTGCAATCATTGCGCGACGCGCGATTATCATGGCAACTGTCACGCACGTGGGTAATTTTATAACAATTCGTCACACACTGACAGTTAATTAACGTTACCTTTGGATATCGGAAATAATAGAAATTTGTATTATTATTTATACTATTTACATGAATTATTAAGATGACATCTTCAGCATCAGGGCCTTGCCGATTATGTGGGTGTTTGGAGCTATTTACAAAAAGTAACACAAGTCTACACTTTCTAAGTAAATCAAAATTTCAAACTGAGATAAAACGTATTTTCAAAATAGATGTAAGCAATGATCCAGCAAATGGACCAGAATACATTTGTAACAAATGTAAGTGCAAAATGTTAGCATGCAAACGACTTAGGTACAGAAAGAAATGTACAATTCAGGTAAATTATGTTTTTATTACCGTATGTGATTCAACCATTCAATATTGATAATAGTTAGGCCTAGGCCTAGTCTACATTATTACAACAGTACAGTATATTTTTGTCATTTTGATAGGTTTTTTTTTTAGTAAAACATAGGCCTATTTCTATTACAGTTGAATAATGATATCGAACCGAAATTATTGTCCTTGGACAAGATCTCAGGTTTTGCGAAAGCATTAAGCCGTAATGTCCTAGTTCTTCAAAAGGCTAATAATTGTCTTCAAGTCCTTTGGTTGTTCAATGAAGTAATAAGCACAAGACTTGAATTATACGATGATGGAAAGTGGTCTTTATCTGTCTGCGATCTTCCAAAAAATCTTGATGGTTATCATAGCAAGTTAACAACAGATGAAGCGATAATAATGATTAGCATGATCGATAACCATGGTGTTTGCCAAGGAAACAAAGATTATCAGGATGTTGTCGACATGAAAGGTGAAGAAATGATCCCAGTTCACATTACATCTAATGACGATTATTCTGCACATTACAAAACAGTTCGAAACAAATTCTGTCATCTTTTAATTGACAAAAATTTGACGCGCTGTGCCCGATGCTATAGCTCAAGGTAAGTGTATCGGTGGTCTTTTTATGTGTTTTTGTTACAGTTGTTAGCCACTTATTCTAATTCTTAGAATGGCTAATTAATATCATTATTAATGTGATTTTACGTTACAAAATATAAAATATCAGGCAGTTACAAGAAAGAGACATGAATCAACAGGGAGAGAGAGACACCAAAACAAATTATCTATTGTGTAGTATATAATTTTCTTAATATTATATTTTAGGGATAATTTAAACAGATTAAGAACACGAATGAACCACAGAAAAAATGGAAGAGGAAAGACTGCCCCCGGATTTAGTTTGACAAGAAGTGAATTAAATATAAAGTCAATGGAATGTATTACCGAACTTAACGCTGCTAAAAGGATACTGGTGTCTAAACAACAACAAATAGAAAATTTAATGACCAGAGAAAGTGAACAACTACTCCCAAGCACAGCTGCTGTGTTTGAAAACAGTCTGCAAGAACTTGAGTCTGTTCTTCCACAAGGGTCAGCATCTAGTCTGTTATGGCACCAGCAAATCAAAGCAAATAAATCTGGCAAGGGTATGCGATGGCATCCAGCTATTTTACGGTTTTGCATCGCACTAAAATCAAAATCATCAGCAGCTTACAATTTGTTAAGAGACAGTGAAATGTTGAAATTGCCACATCCTAATACTCTACTGAACTACACTCAGTTTAACAGCATAAAAGGGGGGATAAATCCAGACATTCTAATAAATGAGGCATTAATGCGACTGGATAAAGGAAAGCGACTTCAAGAACATGTAACATTACTTATAGATGAAGTAAAACTTAAAAGTGGCTTAGGCTTTTCTAAAAGCACTGGAAACCTGGTCGGATTTACTGACATCGGAGATCTCTCCAATGAGATAGCAGAGTTTGAGAGAAAATGTGGAGGAAAGGTATGTAGTATTTTAAGAGAGCATGAGATCATGAATTAAAACCCCTAGCTAAAAGAAAGATTTTAAAAAAAATAATGAGACAAAACATTGGCATAATAATTATTACTATGATATTTTTACAAATATATTAATGTTTACAGGAAGAACAGGAATTAGCGACACATATGCTGGTGGTAATGATGAGAGGAATTTTTTCGGATATGAAAGTTTCTGTAGGATTCTTCTCCACAAGTAGTGTCAGAGGCTCTCAGTTATACGACATTTTGGAGGAGGCAATAGACAAGGTCGAATCGGTTGGATTCATGGTACACGGTATTGTCGGAGACGGGGCATCTTCAAATAGGAATCTGTTTAAACTGTGTGCTCTCGATGGTAATAAGCATTACATGGTCAACCCTGTGGATTCAAGTAGGAAAGTGTACTTTTTCTCAGATGCCCCACATCTAATTAAAACTATTCGGAATAACGTTGAGAATTCTGGAAGCCATAACAAAACACGAAACTTATATGTAAGAAACTACTATTTTATTTTTCGTTTTTTATTTAAAGAAGCACTATAAATCTTTTATCATCTTATTATTATTAAATATTATTTTGATATTTTTAGTTCAATGGGAAGATGATTTTATGGAACGATTTCAAAGATACTGTTACATGGGATAAAGGAACTGACCGATACTACCCTGGACTTACGAGACTCCATAAAATTAAGCATGACCATCTTAATCTAACACCAAGTTTGCGAATGCGGGTATATCTTGCAGCACAGGTAACTATTTTGTAATTACTATAATAATAATAATAATAATAGTTGGATTTATAGAGCGCATTATGCGAAAAAGCCTCTATTATTATCTCATTTATTTAATTTTTTATAAGAACGAAAAAATAATATTATACTTTTGAACTATATTTTCCCCTCTTTAGGTTTTGAGCACTTCAATGGCTAATGCTATGGAGTTAATGGACGAAAACCTCGGTACAAATCATTCCTCGACAATCACATTCATCCGTATGGTTGATATGTTTTTTGACTGTCTCAATGTTAGAAAACTAACGTGCCAAAAACAAGATGTCCTCAAAAGGTGTAAAGAGAACTCCTTCTTTAGTAAGCCTGCATTGCAGCCATACAGAAGTAAAAACGATTGGCGATTTAAGGTTTGTTTTACAGCAATTCATTAACAAAATTCATATTTCCTTTACATACTGGATTTAGGAAATTATTATTACATCTAGTTTTAACTGAAAATTTGTTTTTTGGCATTTCCATTAGGTCATAATCATATTCTTAACCTTACAGTGGCTGAAAGACGACTTTCTAAGATTCCTTGATACATGGGAAGAGCAAGTGGAAGGACTGGATGAATGCAAGGCAACAAAAAAGAAGTTGCTACTCAGTACAGAAACATTACTTGGTCTACGTCTAACAGGTATATTTTCATTTTAACTTTGACCTCAAAATAATACAAACATATGCCTACTGTGGTAACAACTAAAAAATATACTTTTTGTATGTTTTATATTTTTCAGTTAACTCATTCGTAGATATGGGAAAAGACCTGTTAGATAAATATGTCGACAAAGAAGAGTTCCTGTTATCTGGGCACCTAAATCAAGACCCGCTTGAGAACTACTTTGCAAAACAAAGAGGATGTGGTGGAAGCAATGGCCATCCAACCGCTCTTCAGGTTCAACAAAATTCGCAGCCATTGTACCAAGCTTCAAGATGTATAAGAGCATCTAAGAGAGCCAACTGTACTAATGACGACATAGACAACATTGTTCAGTTGGATAATACACCACTATTGTCTAAGAAGAAAAAAACTTTTCTTAATT